CAACCATTATGGAAAACAGTATGGCGATTCCTCAAGGATCTAGAACTAGATGTACCATATGACCCAGCCATCCCATTACTGGGTATATACCCAAAGGATTATAAATCATGCCACTATAAAGACACATGCACACGTATGTTTATTGCGGCACTATTCACAATAGCAAAGACTTGGAATCAACCCAAATGTCCATCAGTGACAGACTGGATTAAGAAAATGTGGCACATATACACCATGGAATACTATGCAGCCATAAAAAAGGATGAGTTTGTGTCCTTTGTAGGGACATGGATGCAACTGGAAACCATCATTCTTAGCAAACTATCACAAGAACAGAAAACCAAACACCGCATGTTCTCACTCATAGGTGGGAACTGAACAACTGAACAATGAGATCACTTGGACTCGGGAAGGGGAACATCACACGCCGGGGCCTATCATGGGGAGGGGGGTGGGGGGAGGGATTGTATTGGGAGTTATACCTGATGTAAATGACGAGTTGATGGGTGCTGACGAGTTGATGGGTGCAGCACACCAACATGGCACAAGTATACATATGTAACAAACCTGCATGTTATGCACATGTACCCTAGAACTTAAAGTATAATAATAATAAAGAAAGAAAGAAAGAAAGAAAGAGAAAAAACAGAACAAAACAAAACAAAAAAACAATTATCTCAGGCCCTACTCAGTGGCTCACACCTGTATTCCCAGCACTTTGGAGGCCAAGGTGGGTGGATCACCTGAGGTTGGGCATTCAAGACCAGCCTGACCAACATGGAGAAACCCCATCTCTACTAAAAATACAAAATTAGCCAGGCATGGTGGCACATGCCTATAATCCCAGCTGCTAATGAGGCTGAGGCAGGAGAATCACTTGAACCCAGGAGGCAGAGGTTGTGGTGAGCTGAGATTGCACCAATGCACTCCGGCCTGGGCAACAAGACCAAAACTCCATCTAAAAAAAAAATTATCTTGTAAAAATACTTTTATGCAATTTATGCCTACTTTCTACTCTCAGGAAATAGACTGAAGACGGCATCTTTCCAAAACTGACTAAACTCAGATAATATTTCTCCCTTGGAACATTTTTTGTTCTTGTCAGAAAGGGAGTTATGTGGCTAATCCAGTGGGTTGCGGAGGATGCACATGGATGGTGAAGGTTTAAATGATGTGCATTGAAAATTATGTGACTTTTGCGTTAAATAACTTTTTAGTAGCACCAAAAAGTATAGCTCTTAGAGGATAGATTTAAGTCAGCCTCCTAGCTCTAAAATGTATCTCTGTCCACTACCTTGCTATTTAGTGGAACAGCTATTGAGAGTGTGAGATCTTATGACTTTCTTTAAAAAAAAAACAAACAAACAAAAAAAAAACAAATACAATAGTCTCTCCCCTCCCCCATCTGCAGTTTCTCTTTCTACAGTTTCAACTATGGTTTGAGAATATTAACTGGACAGTTCCAGAAATGCACAATTATATAATAACCAAACTCTAAGTTTTAAATTGTGTATCATTCTGAGCAGCATGATGAAGTCTTACACTGCCCCAGTGTAAGACCAGCTTGCCCAGGATGTGAATTATCCCTCTGTCCAGCAGCTCCATGCTCTCTATACCACCTGCCCACTAGTCATTTAGTAGCTGTCTTGATGATCAGGTTGACTGTGGCAGTGTCAATAGGAACCCATTTTTCTTGTAAGATTTTCAATGTAAAGATGCAACATTCTTGTAAGTTCAAATAAGCTAACAAATATTCCTCTGAGTTATTGTAACTTTTAAATAACTTAGTTATCCTTTAGCAGAACAACAGTTACAATGTAACTTTTACTTTCAGTGTATTCACATTTAATTATTTTTTACTTCCTAATGGCTCCAAAGTGCAAGAGTAGTGATGTTGACAGTTTGGATGTGCCAAAGATTAGCCTTAAAGGGCTTCTTTTAAATGAAAGGTCTAAGTTCTCAACTTAAGGAAATAAAAAAAAAAATCATATGCTAAGGTTTCTAAGCTCTACAGTTAGAAGGAATCTTCTATCCATGAAGTTGTGAAGAAGAAAAAAGAAATTTGTGATTGTTTTGCTGCCCCACCTCACCTCACACTGCAAAAGTTATGACCATAGCATGTGAGAAGTGCTTAGTTAAGATAGAAAAGGCTATAAATTTATGGGTGGAAGACATGAACAGAAATGGGTTCCTATTGACCTCAACTAGTTCAATAGTATGGGCTGTTGTAGGCATTCCCTGGGAGTCTTAGAATAGCTCCCATGAAGATAAGAGGGTCTACTGTATTCCTAAAGAACATATGTGAATATTCCTTTAGATTGTTTAACATGTCTGCCACAAGTAGATATTAAAAAGTCAAAAGAAAGGAGATTAGTGCTTAAAATATATATTTTCAATCATACTAGAATGAAAACCTTATAGTTCTCATCTGAAATCAAGACCATTAGAATTACTAAAGTGATTTTTGAGATCATGTGGATTACAGTAGTACTCAGGCTACAGGGGAAATTTAAGTTTGGATTAAAGCCAGAGCAATATGTGGAAGAGCAGAGTGAAGATGGTGCATTTCATTTCCTTAGGATTTGGAATAGTACTAAATGAATGTTACATATCAAGTATATATATATTTTAATCCCAATGCCAGTGGAGAAGCTATTATTATAAATTGCATATGTCGCATGATTTTAAAATATTGTGCCTTTTTCTTGTAAGATTTTCTGTGTAAAGATGCAACATTCTTGTAAGTTAAAATAAGCTAACAAATATTCCTCTTAGTTATTGTAACTTTTAAATAACTTAGTTATCCTTTAGCAGAACAAGTTACAATGTAACTTTTACTTTCAGTGTATTCAAATTTGAACTAGTAAATTCGTGTTTATTATGAAATTAATATTCATTGATTCAACTAAAATGTTTATTGAATGTCTATTAAGTACAAAATCCTGTGTTTTCTAAAATGATTTTATATAATCTCTCATGTGGGCAAGGAATTGCCTCATCAAATCCATTATATATGAAAAGAATCTTAAGTTCACTTTCCTATTTGTTTTTGGAATACATGCTTTGATAAATACTAAAATGCTGACATTATGAGGGGGAAAAAACCTAACTCTCTGAAATCACCTAGTCTTTGTTTGAATGATCAGAGTAGGATTATGTCCTGTTTATGTTACTGGGTTTACAGTCCACCCTTCCATCTGTATTCTTCTAAGGTCTACAAATCCTATCCATTTGGCAACACAGTTTCCTTAAACTCCAGGTTCTCTCTAATATTTAGATATCTTGCTTCATTCATTCAAAGCAACATATGAAAACTGGAAGACACTGAAGTATGTCAGAAAAGGGCCACCCCTCTTAACCAAGGAAAGAAACTTTATCCATAGGAATACAGCAATATATAGCAGCAAACTTGGGGACATCAACATGAAACTTTGTAGTTAGGCTTACTTAAAGAATTTATTTTTAATGTTATTTTTAATTTTTAATATTATAATATTAAGGAAATTATTTCAGTCAATGGAAACAGTTATCATGATAGAATGGTTGTTACTCTGTATTTTCTGAAATATTAGGGTTGAATAAAAGACACTTTCAGGAGAAATAATAGAGAGTAGGTAATTCTTAAAGGCTATTGCTCTTTCTACATGCAAAAAATTATTCCTCTGTATCATGTATCCGATTTTGAGCAAAAACTCTGTGAATCCACAGGGATAGCACCAGGCATGATTGATTCAAAGGCTGCCACTAACACTGGGCAGTGTTCCTGGGTTTTCCGGAATATCTGGGCATAGTTTTGCTATGCTCCTGGAAGGAGGAGAGTCAGAGGCAATGGCTAGTATGGAGAAAGAAATAGACCCAGCTCATAGCTCCTAGTACGGAATGTTTTCTTATGGCATAAGGCATTATAAAAAGTAGCTCCTATGCATACTTATTAAAGATGCCTACCAAAGTTAATTAACTTGGCCATTTCATTCATTGATTTTTAAATAAAAGATAGTATCAAGGCTTGGGAATATGGTTTTAGAAAAGAGATTTAACTTTTCCAAGCACAAAGGCTTGCATGAGGTCACAGAAGCCACAAAAACAAGCTCTGAATCCTGAAAATGGATTTAAAAATAAATCAGATAACTCAAAAGAGCCTTTGGGGAAAGTACATATAAATTCTCCTTCTGCAGCATCCAAGTTATGAGTCTGTTAGGGCCACAATATCTTTCATTTGATCAGCCACAGTTTGAGAGCACAGAACTAGAATGGAGTAGAGTAGACACAAAGAAATAATTATCCACGCATATATTTACAGCACTGTTCCTTTGCGGAGGGAATAGCACCCTTTGTGTGTGTGTGTGTGTGTGTGTGTGTGTGTGTGTGTGTTCCACACTTAACCTTCTTTTGGCCTTGGAATTATCTGGCTTGTTTTCCTCTGTAGTCAGGTTCTGAAATATCAAACACAGCTGTAGACAAAGGAAGAGGTTGATCAAAAAGCCCACCCAGAGATTCCATAATAAATAGAAATGAAAGTAACATACATAGGATCAAGTAAAGTTTGCTTTGGTACTATAGAATTCCATGAGTCATTTGCATGGGGAACCAGAAGAAAACAATGAAATAAAACAAAAAAACAAACTGGTTAAAGGGCACTCTTTGGAGTCAAGTGAGGAAGCCAAGCATCATAAATTTCCCAGTGGCTGGGCAGAAGGTAAGAGATTGAGGAACGCTGCTAAAGAATGTTGCAGAGATTTTCATTTCCAAAAAACTCATGCACCTGTTGATGTATTTTCCAGGCCCTTGGATGATAGCAATTTATGAGGCTATTAGTACTGAGTCCAAGATTTATCAGATGTGCTGTTTGTCTTATAGCCAATATAACCTCACAAAATTTGGGTTGCACTGGGTTAAAATGGAGCGTTCTGCTATTGTTATTCAGAGCATTTAAATCGGTTAATCCTACAAGAACGGTGCATTTAGCCTGCCTATTAGAGGGAGTCTTTAGGGATTCCTACCAGTTGCAGAGCCAGACTGGAGGGGGCGGTCCATTGCTGGGTGAGGTAAAACAGAGGCAGCAGGGGAAGAGTGAGTCCTGGAGACAAGACGGTGTTTCTCTAATCCATCCATGCCAACCGCAGCCAGCGGCGCTTGGCGCACAGAGAGCGCACGTGTGTGCGGGGGTTCCAGGAAGGGCTGTTGCCAAGAAAAGAGCACAGTAGAAAGAAATGTGAGACAAGATTTGAGGGAGACACTGAGCGACATGTCAACAAATTAAGTTCATCAGGTCAGAGACATAATAAACGGTGTGAAGGAAAAAGAAAAAAAAATAGAGAAAGGGAGAGAAAAAACAAGATCCAGTCAATAAATCCATTCAACAGATGTTTTCACACTGACTGCCAGGGCCTGTCTGCCTGGCTAAGGAGGAGGTGATGGCAGGAGGCCTGTCAGTTTGAACTGATTGAAAGAAACAAACCTTTAACCTCAAGAGTAACGTTGACTTCGACTCATTTCCTACTTAGATACCAACGTTTTGAATACAGCCCCAGAACTGCCACACAACGTGGGAGAACAATTCAACGCTTTCAAACTGCCAGTGAGGGCTAATTCTGAAAATTCTCTCCTGAATTTATTTCAGTGAATATTGTTTATGAATTCTATGGATGTCTCTAAAAATGACCAATTACACGATTGTATTTTGACACCTTTCAGTCTTCATATACTGGTATGGAAAAAAATGAGTATTTCATAGTTTATATGGTATAATTTCAACACTGTAAAATTATTTGGTTTTAAAATATAGTATTAAGTATATCCTCAGTGATTTAACACTGTTATTATATTCTTCATCCTTCCCAACTTACCAAATCGGTGAATCACAGTTTGGAAGTTTATGGAAGATTCACTTAGTCTCTTCCTCTGTCTCCAAGAAAAGATACTCTCAAACACAGATAGGCAGCTTATTTAATCATCAATGCTACACAGCTAGCTTTGTGCAAAAAAAAAAGTATATATTTTAAAATATATATTTTAAATATATATTGTTTCATAATTTTATTTAATAAAGATTTATTTATTAATAAAAATATTTATCAAAATATATATACTACACCGTGAATATTTTCTCTTCAACCTAAGAGAATTCATAAGCTTTATGCTGTTTTTATTTGTCTTTCCTAACGAATATGAAGAATAGCTGAACAGTGGTAAAAAAACATGATAATCTCTTGCAATGTATAAACTGTTGCTCCAAAGGTTGCCAGAGTATTTTTAAACAAGTCTAATTCTTGTAATTTTATAAATATGTGTGCTCTTCTGCTTCTGCTTCCTACCTGACTAGCGTTTGTTCTTTCAAGACTTGAGGCAGACATTACTTCTCCTTAGTTAAGGCCTTGCCTTAACCTTCCTGCTAGACTAGGTGCTCCCCTTCTACCCAACATGTGCCATCACAGGTCATACTCATCCTGTATTTCCACCCAAGGCTTGCTACATGCTAGGTGTACAAATTACACTTGTTGAGAAACATACTGAGAAAGCTAACAAATCTGTATACAATACAACTGTACTCATTGCATATCATGTGGTTTTATGTAATTGTAGCTTTCTCTGTACATGATATGGGTTAATGCTGCATATAAACCTATAAATTGGGATTATAAATATATATTTCATTACAGACCATAAGCAGAGGTTTCTGAATTTAGAAAAAAGTAAGAATGATTTAAAATTAACTTTAAAATAGGCAATAGTTAATGTATATGTTGTTACTTCTGTTTTGCTCTACAGAAAAATCAAACCATCAATCAATTGGAAGGTATATGTCACATATCGAGGCTTTGGGCATTTGCTTCGATGATTGGGATGGATTGGTCAGGGACCTATTCTAGCTACAATGGTTTATACACTTTTACAAGAGTCTAACTCTCCTGTTTTCTTGAGTGCCTTGTGTTCAATGTCCTGAGGACACAGCAGTAAGATTAATATAGTCCTTCCTCATATGGAACTTACCGTTACAGGGAATACAAATATATAATTATGATTTGGGGGCTTCTGTCGGGAAAAGGAAGCTTTTCCACATATGATCTATAATTCCTGGGTACATGTTTATCTGATTTTTTTGTAATATCCATCTCCTCTCTTTCTTTCTACTGTAATTTCTTCAACTCCGGTGTAAGACAGGGCAAAAGATTCCTAACTGATCACCCAACTTCTAATACCAAACAGTCCTATTCCTTCCTGCAAGAATTCTCTTCCTGAAGCCCTGCAGTAAGCAAGACATTAACACAAAAAGACTCTGAAGGTCAACCCAAATTTGAAGAACCTCTACAGTCTGTCATTTGTACTCTCCTTTACCTGAGGCTAACCTACATTTTAAGCCTTAGATCATTTATTCCTTTTCTAAGTTCTAGCCAAATACTGTCCACTGAACATCAGATATCATTCCGAGGGCTGCAGTATGACTTTCATGGGCCCTGTGCAATTTTATCATTGTGGACTGCAAAAAATAGTATTAAAAACTACACTTTAAGCCTGCATTGGCATACATTGGGTTCATTATTATATATTCATATTATTAGATTCATTTTTTTCTGACTAAGAAATTAAAATGTAAAATGTGTTGTGGGCCCCTAACAGTATATCATAGGCTCTGGGCACTGTGTCTGCTGTGTCTCACGGATATATTGACCATGATCATTCATGCTTCCTCCAAGCCATCCTTTCTAGATCACCCCTCTATGTGTGGCTATGAAGCTCCACATTCAGCTCTACACACATACTCTAAGGTCCACTTAAAATTTCACAGTCTCTTTTGAACACTCACATTAATTGTGCTTTCCCCTTCTGTTACATGCCCATCACATTTTGTTTTTCTCTCTCCTTTTCCTGCCATAGTCTTTTATATATGAGTTATTGCATGCAGTAACTATTTCTTGAGCTCACACTCCATGCTGGACACGTTGCTAGTGTGCAGAACCTTTTTTATGCTTATTCTCTAGTGAGGAGACAGATACTAAATACAGACACGCATCCCATAACAATATTTTGGTCAAGGATAGACCGCATATATGACACTGGGTCCAGAAGATTATAATGGAAAAATCCCTTTCACCTACTGACGTATTAGCCTTCCTAATGTCATAGCACAACTACTTTCGTTTTAATAATTTAGTGTAGCCTAAGTGTACAGTGTTTATGAAGTCTACAGTACCATGCAATAATGTCCTAGGCCTTCATGTTCACTCATCAGCCACTCACTGACTCACCCAGAGCAACTTCCAGTCATGCAAGCTCTACTCAGGGCAAGTGCCTTATCCAGGTATATTATGTTTTACCTTTTATAATCAACTGTATTTTTATTGTACCTTTTCTACCTTTATATACACAAATTGCCTACAATATTCAGTATAGTAACATGTTGTACAGGTTTGTAGGCTAGGAAAAGTAAGCTATTACATATGGTCTAGGTGCATAGTAGGCTATACCATATCTAGGTTTGTGTAGGTATACTCGATGATGTTCGTACAACAAGGTAATTAATTCAGGATGATATGAAAAACTTAAAAAAAAAAAACACCTGATGAAGAGGTTCAGGGAAATTTTGTTTAAGAAAGCGATATTTAATTTTAAATATGAAAGACAAATTGGAATTAAGCAGGTGACAAATGCAAGGAGAAGCTCTAAATACATTTTGCATGTGTGTGTGCATGTACATTTGTGTGTGTGTAAAATGATCTGTCCTTGTATAATGTTGAAAGTTCGTTGAACCAGAAACTGGATATAACTCATCTTTTAACTTATTTTCTGCTGCATTTTATATATTTTCTCACACTTTTTAGAAGATATACTATTTTATTTGTGCATTAAGAAAATGCAATCGATATTTGGAAATTAAAGGCCATTTTTTTTTTAATCACATGGCCATGTTTTAGATGACTGGGGTTACTAAATATTTTTTCTCTTAATGAGTAGTTTGATACTATAAGGACTCCATTTAAATAACACCACCTACTACCTTTCTTTTTTTTTTCTTAAAGTAAATATTTATTGCTTTACTTGACCTCCACTGAAACCCTGTAATTTAAAACAGTTTGCTAATTCAAAAGCATTATGTAAATGTTACATGATAGTATAACATTTCGCAATTCAATAAGCAGCATCCTACCTGTCCAGTGTCTACCAGAAGGAATATGGCAATATAAGTAAGAAATAACTACTTGTTCAAAATTAATTTGTTCGTTACTTGTAAATGTTCATCCAATAGCTATTGCTCAATCAAAAGGCAACAGTCCTTGTCCTGCATTGTACAGACAGCAAAGCAGATTTAGGATGTTGTGGGTTGACACCCAAAATTTAGGCACTTGCACCTTAACCGCAGTTAGTAAGTTACATGAAGAGATGAGCTTTGGCTGCTATATATTCCCATGCATATCTTTCCCATGCAGTGTTTCACACATAGTGTGCTTTAATAATATGTATTATTCAATTTAAAAAGAATGCATAATAAGGAGATATATATAATCATTCTTAAGATCTTATTATAAGGATAGGATAAAACAAGAAAACGTATTATAAGCAATCACAACACAAAATAATCAAGAAATGGCTGAGAAAAAAAAATATGAGAAATAGAGTCCAGACAAAATGATTACCAAAGGACAAAATCCTAAAATTATTTTATGTTGGAGCCAAGAGATAATGTGAGGAAAATTCCAGTGATTTGGGGATTATTTTTCCTTTGTACTTTTATGTCATTTCCAAGTTTTCTGCATATTACCTATTTTAAAACTGTAATTAAGAAAAAATGGTAAATGTTATTTAAACTAAATAGTCAAATCTTCCAAACACTTTATTAGGACAGATTCATAATTATTGTAACTATGAACAGAGATGGGCCAAACATTTTTGAACTTTCTTTCAAAAATAGTACTATAGAAGAAAGAAGTTTATTCACTCTCAAAGAGTTGATTGCAATTATACACTTTTACAAATGAAATGTGGCTTTCAATGTATAAGAAGAGTTATAACAATCCAGTAAACCACATATTATTATACTGCATGTTAATCACTGAGTTATCGTTAAACGCCAGGTCACTTTTATTTTAGGATAGATATCCAGCCTCATTAACAAAAGCATCCTTCTTGAGCTTTAAAGCTGAAATTACATTTTTCTGTTGTCTCTGGAATGGATTGAAATG